CACCTGGGACAGAGCCCACCCGGGACAGGGACACCCGGGACAGGGACACCCAGGATAGAGCCCACCCGGGACAGGGACACCCGGGGCAGGGACACCCGGGACAGGGACACCTGGGAGAGAGCCCACCCGGGACAGGGACACCCGGGACAGGGACACCTGGGACAGAGCCCACCCGGGACAGGGACACCAGGGATAGAGCCCACCTGGGACAGAGCCCACCCGGGACAGGGACACCCGGGACAGGGACACCCGGGATAGAGCCCACCCGGGACAGGGACACCCGGGACAGGGACACCTGGGACAGAGCCCACCCGGGACAGGGACAACCCGGATAAGGGACACCTGGGACAGAGCCCACCCGGGACAGGGACACCCGGGACAGGGACACCCGGGATAGAGCCCACCCGGGACAGGGACACCCGGGACAGGGACACCTGGGACAGAGCCCACCCGGGACAGGGACACCCGGGACAGGGACACCCGGGACAGGGCCCACCCAGGACAGGGACACCGGGGATAGAGCCCACCTGGGACAGTGCCCACCCATGAGGTCTGTGAGTGCCCACCCATGGGGTCTGAGTGTGCCCATCCATGGGGTCAGTGAGTGCCCACCCCGGGGGTCTGAGGGGGGGTCTGTGCTCCTGCCCACCCCCCTCTGCTCCCACCCAGCAGCAGCCGCTCCCAGGGGATGGGGGTCTGAGGGATGCCCCCTCCCCACAGCACCCAGACCGTGCCCGGTGCCCCCTCCCCACAGCTGGGACAGCCCCACCTGGGCACCCCAACCTGGGCAGCCCTGGGACAGCTGCACCTGGACACACCCTCACCTGACCTGAGCACCCCAACCTGGGCAGCCCTGGGACAGCTGCACCTGGGCACCCTCACCTAGACACCTCCAGCTGGCATCCCCACCTGGGCACACCCACCCAGACACACCCACCTGGGTACCCCTGGGACAGCCCCACCTGGGTACCCCCACCTGCACACCCACCTGGGCACAGCCACCTGGACACCCACCTGGGCATCCCCACCTGCACACCCTCACCTGGACAGCCCCGGGGCACCCCACGCCATCCCCGTGGATACCCACCCCTGCCCTCCCCTGTTCCCACCTGTGTCCCCTGCCCTCCCCTGCCGGCCACCACTGCGCAGCCCCCGTACCCGTTCCCATGCCCACTCCTGTGCCCATTCCCATTCCCGTTCCCATTCCCGTTCCTAATCCCAATTCTGATTCCCATTCTCATTCCCGCGCCCAGGCCGTGCCCGTGCCCGGTGCCCCCTCCCCACAGCGCCCAGGCCCGTGCCCGGTGCCCCCCGGTGGGGCTGGGGGCTGCAGGGTGTCCCCAGGGCGGGGGGTGGCCGTGGGTCACTCACCGTTGGCAAACACCCGGTGCCAAACTGCCGGGGCGGGCATTGGGAGGGCATAGGGGAAGAAAAGGCGATGCTGAGGTTGGCACCCCAAAAAGGGACCCCCCAATCCTCGGGGCTCCTGCCTGCCCGGGATCCCCCCCACACCCTGTGTGACCCCCGCCCCTTCCTCCTGCCAACCCCCCCGGACCCCTCGGGCCCCCCT